GTCCATGTGTATGGCTAAAGACTCAATAACAAGTAACAATGCCAGCCAGGAGATACCTTCCTTTGAGTTGTTGGCCAGCGTGGCCCAAATGACTCCAAGACAGTAACCCAGCACAGAACATGGAAAGTGAACAGAAGACCCCAGTCTTATCTAGAGGAACATTGGAAACTGATTGCTGCTGGATGAGGAAGAGCTGATCTTACTAAAACAAGCAACTCTAGATAGGCTTACTAGATTCAGAGGGTAGACAAGCACTGGTGAATGGCTGGGGGTGCCGACAACGCAGTGGACAGTAACAGGGATATCAGAGTATAAGGGCTCCAGTGGGGGGAGGGAGGCTATGGGAGGCTGCTATCTGGGATGTGGGTATATAGTTGAATAAGATGGTTTGGGATGTTCTGTGTGATATACACACACACACAAAAAAAAACAAATTTTAAAAAATGAATTATATTTGAGGAGGAAACATAAAAATTTACATCATATTAATTAGCAGAGGTGATAAACATTACCATCGAAATCTACCCAATGACTTTACAGACATACACAGGTGCCAAGGATCCAAGTGCAACTGACTATGACTAGTAATAATCAGATACATACAGATGAGAGACGCATGCACCAACACCTCAGCGTTAGTAGAAAAACAATGAGTCTTTCTGTGAGAAACAGTATATTTTAATATGAAATGGAGATCTTTTTTAAAGGTTAAAAACATTCAATTTGGTCTTTTTGAGACAAGGTCTCCCTGTAGCCCTTGACTACTACTCCCTGTAGTCACTATGTAGACCAGGCTGGCCTTGAACTCACAGAGATCCGCCTGCCTCTGCCTCCTGAGTGCTGGGATTAAAGTCATTCAGGTTTTTTAGATGAGACAATTCATGAGAAGTATTTGACAGATAGTTGTGATTTTTGAAACCAAGAACAAATATGAAGATGCCAGAAAATAGTATCTCGGCACAGACAAGAAGGGAGCGGAACACTGAGAAGAGGATTGCCATCATTTCAAAAACAGGATGAAATAAGATTCCGGACTGAGTTAGAACCAAACCTTTTCTTTACTCGAGGTATTATGGGATTTCTGTTAAATTCTCAGCATAGATTCGGGACTTTTCGAGCTGGTTGAGTGAAATTGTGGTTTTACTAATAATATAATAAAGGAATAGTTTTATTTCAGGTTTGTCTCTCTCAACATTTCGGAGATTATCTCCTTATCAGTGTACTCACTTTTGTCGAAGGTGTGAGAACTCACACCTCTGAGGGTTCCACAGCTCAGACATCTGTGACTTTTCAGTTCCTAGTGACAGAGCAAACAATAGGCAAGCAGGCGGTGGGAGTTAGAGCAGATACCCTCTCCCTCCTCCTAGAAGGCCACACAGCATTAACACGCAGACAGCTGGGACTGGTATGAGCCGTGTACTTGGCATCATCGAGTATCACCTCAGGCTGAGCCTGCAAGACGTAGTGAGCAGGCAGTGACGGCCCAATTGGGACAAATGTTGCGTTTAGGACAGACCTCTGGCACTGTGTCTTTGGGTTGTAATGGCTGTTGGTTTGGAAATGTTAATACTGAGGTGTATCATCGTTACTGCAGCAAGCACACTTAATACCTGTTGCCCAATTCATCTAGTACTAACTTTTAAACATATTTATTTCCATCTATTTTTAACTATTTAGTTTAAAATAAATACTTCCACAGTGGAAAAAAAAAAAAAAGAAAAGAAAAAAGAAAGAAAGAAAAAACTAGGTCACTGGGATGTGTCTTTTAAGAATAGATCTAGTACCGGGCTGGAGAGATGTCTCAGAGGTTAAGAACACTGGTTGCAACTGACAAGACCCAGGTTCAAAGACCCAGGTTCAAATCCCAGCACCCACATGGCAGCTAACAACTGTCCATGACTCCAGTTCCAGGGGATCTGACAGCCTCTCTGTCTTCGGCGGGCATTGCATGACACGGGTGCACTTACCTACATGCAGGCAATACACGCATATACATAAAGTAAAAATAAAACTGAAATTTTTAAAAAAAGAGACTAGATCTAGTGTGTCTTCACGTACTACTTCCAGTCTCCATGAGGCAAAGAGCCTCTTCCATCATAAGCTTCCGTTGCTACAATGTTTAGCCCAAATACATTGTGATGACATGGGTGCACTTACCTACATGCAGGCAATACACGCATATACATAAAGTAAAAACAAAACTGAAATTTTTAAAAAAAGAGACTAGATCTAGTGTGTCTTCACGTACTACTTCCAGTCTCCATGAGGCAAAGAGCCTCTTCCATCATAAGCTTCCGTTGCTACAATGTTTAGCCCAAATACATTGTGCCGGACAGTTTTAGTGTCAACTTGACACATCTGGGTTGAGGGATCCTCAATTGGGGAACTGCCTCCATTGGACTGGCCTGTGGCCATGTCTGTGGGCATTTTGATGATTGTTGAGTGATGTGGGAGGGCCCAGCCCACTGTGGGTGGTGCCACCCCTGGGCAGGTGGGCCTGTGTTGCATAAGAAAGCAGGCTGAGCAGGCGCCAGGAGAGCAAGTCAGTAAGCGGCGTTCCTCCATGGCCTGTGCTCCAGCTCCTGCCTCCAGGTTCCTGCCCTGAGTTCCCACCTTGCACTTTCTGATGAACTGATGAGATGTAAGACAAATAAACCCTTTCCTCCCCAAGTTGGTACTGGTCAGCATGTTTTGTCACAGCAATGGAGAAACAGACTAGAACATACACAAAACCAAGAAACCATGGATTGAACCCTGTGAGATCAGGAGATAAACATCTCCCTGCTTTATTTCTGTTCCTGTGATAAAATATCCTGAAAAAAAAGCAACTTAAGAAAAGGCTTATTCAGCTGACATCATAGTCCATCACTGAGGGTAAGTCCCAGGGCCTGAAGCAGCTGGACAGAGCGACCCACAGCCAAGAGCACAGAGAAAGGGGTGCACCACGCTGCCCCTCTGTTCACATCCAGCTCTCTCCTGGCTTTATTTCTGTTCCTGTGATAAAATATCCTGAAAAAAAAGCAACTTAAGAGAAGAAAAGGCTTATTCAGCTGACATCATAGTCCATCACTGAGGGTAAGTCCCAGGGCCTGAAGCAGCTGGACAGAGCGACCCACAGCCAAGAGCACAGAGAAAGGGGTGCACCACGCTGCCCCTCTGTTCACATCCAGCTCTCTCCTGCAGCACACCCAGCCTGGGGAATGGTGACACCCACAACGGGGGGTGGGGAGTCTTCAATCAATTAGCAATCAAGGCAATCCCCCACAGACATTCCCACAGCCTAAACTGATAAAGACAATCACCCGACTGAGGCCCTTCACAGGAGATGCTAAGTGAAATGAGTGGACACTTTAACCGGCACAATATGCTGTTGATGTTGATATTTTAGGAGAAGTTGTGCCTGCCCACTTTTCCTTTCTCTGTCACATTGCTGCCATGGTTCTATCAAGTAGTTTGGCCTCTGACCTCAGTCCTAGTCTTCTGGTCAGCTGGGATACTTTGAATTTAGAATCTTTAAAATATAGAAAACTTGAAAATTTTGGAAAGCAAAACGAACAGCTCACTGAGGATTCGAGTCTGGGACTGAAGTGGAGGTGTCATGCCTCAGCTACGGCCACACCCAGAGAGGACAGGAGCACCGCCACCTCCAACACTCCAACACCGACAGGAAGGGTATCAGAGGTGAAGCAATCAGTTACAAGTTGTGAGTTCTAGAAGGTACCAGGAGGTCTGCTGAGCCCTCCTCTGAGGTCAAGGAACCCACTCCCCACACCTCAGTAGACAGACCCTGGCCTCCTCCAGCCTCAGGGCCTGGAACGCACTCTCCACAGCCTCGGTTCCTTAGCCAGAGCGCATCTTCCCCACTGCTGGTTGTGTGTGCGTGTGTGTGCCTGCACGCGTGCTCACACACCCGTATTGCTTTCTTTCTCTGTCTGACCCATCTCGGCTCTGTGTATGAGGCAGGGGCTTACGCACATATGGCTGACGAGGGGGCACCTCATCTTTGAATACCCATTTTGATATTCACATGGCAGGCCCCTCTTTTTCCAAAATGAATCTCAGGTTCACTGGCCTGCCCGGGGACTGGAGCTGAGGGCTCTCTGTGCCAGTGGCACATCAGCCAGCTGGGTGAACACAGTGTGAGCAGGAGGGGTCTGCTCCTTCTGCACGTACCATGGGGGTCTCCTGACACTGGAGGCGGCACCCCTCACTCTGACTCACTTCCAGGCCAGGAACAATCTGAAAGTCGGCTCCTTGGGACAGCAGCCTTGTCCCATCATCCTCTGGGGCTGTGACTCTTCTCCAGCAGCTTCCAACAATGATGACATTTTATTTGCTCCACTGCAGAACTGGCCATGGTGCGTGGTCAGGAAGCGACTGGCCAGTCCTCCGTGCCAAGTTCCCTGGGGACCCTGGGCTGAGCAGTATAAAGGGCAGCCGAGTGAGGCACCAGCACAGCCTCCCCAGCCTGCCAGTGACCTGTTGGACACCCGTGAGCACAGACCCTGGAGATGAAGGCCCTGCTCCTGACCTTTGGCCTTGGCCTCATTGCTGCCCTGCAGGCCCAGGCCTTCCCCACCTTGGGGGAAGATCAGGATGTGAGGCTGAGATGGGCAGGGACTGCAAGGGGAGGGTTGTGGGAGCTGGGGGAGGAAGGTTCCATTCATCTCATTCGGGGTCAGCCTTTAGCCCCTACCTGGGGGAACGTCAGACATAGCCCAGGGCATCTGATCAGATGGCTCTGGGGTGCCGAGAGGCTGGAGGAGGTGGGGGCCCAGCACAATTAGCTGTCCCCTGGAGGTGTGGGTGTTTGCGGTTCTGTCACCATTACTGCAGGTGTGGAAGCTCACATCTGGGTGGTCTGGTAGGGGTGCTGGGTGATTTAGGGGTGCGGTGGGTGCCTGGGGAATGCTTCAGGTGTCCAGATCTTGGTGGCTCGGGTAGTCTGACTGTGGACTAGGAGAATGTCAGGATCCACTTGAGCTCTGATAGACGGGTGTCATCTCCAGGTGTCAGGCAGTCTGACTGTGGACTAGGGGACAGGGGGATGAGAATGTCAGGATCCATCTGAGTCCTGATGGTGTCTTCTCCAGGTGTCAGGAACATGGTACTTGAAAGCTACAGCAACAGACAAGAAGATTCCTGTCAGGAAGTTGGGGTCTGTGTCTGTGACTTCCATGACCATCAGAACCCTGGAGGGGGGGAACCTGCACGTCAAGATCACTGCCGTGTGAGTGTCTGCCCCTGAGATGCCAACATTCCCCTTGACCTCCGCCCCCACGCAGGAGAGCCAGGGGCTAAGTGGGATGCACAGGCTGTGCTGGGGGCCCTAGTCAGCCCCAGGACACATAGACCAGGCACTGTGGGGACAACAGTATCACCGAGGGTGCCTCAGGGGACTCTGGGATGGTAGATGGCCCAGAGCAGATCTCTAGGACTGCAAAGGCCAGGCACGCACTTTCTACTCTGATGTGGCATCATTCGGCAGCTGTCCAGGCCCTTTGTGGACAGGTGGTTCACTCCTGGTCCCAATCAGAGCTGGCAGTCTGGGCTTGTTAACCCTGGTTTTTATCACCCTCTTAAGTAAATTTCTGCTTTGGAGACTGGCAGAGACCAGGTTTGCAGAATGACCACAGAGTGTGCAGGACACCAGGGAGAGGGCCAGGCAGTTCCTGCTTGGACACTGTGAAATCCCTGCCATCTCCCACCAGTGTGGCCTCCCACCTACATGGCTAACATCTTTGCATCTCATCTCATAGCTGCATGGCTCCCATCTGAGTGAAAGGACAGTATTCAGACTCTACCCACGGGGACCAACACCCAGGCAGCCTCTGACCCTGGAAATGACCACACGGTTTCCTTATCCCAAAAAATAGTTAACTGAAGTGTTTTAAGTAAGTTGGTGACAGTAAATGTGGGGCTGGTCCCTCCAGAGAAACGGGGACAGGTAAATAGCCGGGGAAATAAAAAGCGATGGAGCAGGATGGTGACCCCAGATGTCACCAGACCAGGCATTCATGAGCTCCTGTGACAGTGAGCAAGAGGGTGTCAGGGCAGTCAGTAGGAGGCACGGCACAGGGCTGTCGCCAGTGTGGGAGACAGGAGACAGGCATGTGTGACCCAGACAGCTTCCTAGTGACTGGACACAGGATTCAGGGAAGCCTGCACATCCTTGGCCACACCTGGTAACCAGGCCACCTGAGTGCTCGTGCTGTGGACGCTGCCAAGTGGAGGCCCATGGCCAGACAGCACTTCTCAGACCTTCTGTTTTCCAGGGTATTGGGTCGGTGCCAGGACATGAGCTTTTTCCTAGAGAAGACTAAGCAGCCTGGCAAATACACTGCCTGTGAGTCCCTATGAACCCCAATCACCCATGATACACTTGGGGCCACTGTGGCCATTCCAGGGAACCCTAGGGCCCGAGAACCTTTTCTTCCTTCTGGT